CGAATTTTCACCCGGGTGTTGTATTGTCCCGCGCGCGTCTTTTATTTATGACACACATTCACCTTGGCACGGGACACAATGTTGCCGTTTGACGCGCCTCGTCGACAGACGAGAAATGGAGACGCTCCAAAAAGGTTAAGGATTATCGCCAGTCTCATTTCCCGGAGGGATGGACACGATTGTGCGCGGCCGCATAATGTCAGTCGCGTTTTTTAATACACTTTTGGGGGCGCGAGACGTCGTCCTCCGTGATTTACGGCCGGCCGCAGACCAGCGTGCCAAATGGAGCGCTCTAATACAGCGAGAGGAAATAATACGCCGCTCACAGAATTTGCCTGCGAATCGGACCACGCAGTTTCCACCGAATGGCGTACCGCGGATCATTGTGCGAGCGCTGAATTCCGACTCCCCGCAAAATTGCAGGTCCGCCCCCATTTCTCACCGAACTCCGCGAAATGCGTCGCCGTCGCCCGTCGTCGTATCGAATTTTATCGCTCGCGCTATTTCGCATTCGTCGTCGTTTGGTGCTCGGCACTCAACTTTACTTCCAGAAATTCCCGTTACACGTTTACGCGTTATGCGCGTTCGAAAATGGAAGATACAGTGAACTGCAAAACAGTTTTGACAAGTACGAAGTTGGTAGCTCATCCAATTGTCAAAACCGACGCACTTACGCAATAATAATATAGATAATAACATAATTGAGGGTTAATTAATAATAATAATAATAATTAACTGTGCAGTGCAAAATGGTTCAGACATAATGAAATTGGGACCAAACTGACAAAACTAACAGAGCCATTAACTGTGTGGCAGGTTTGCCTAGTAATTAGATTATTAAAAATAATAATAATAATTATTATTATTATTAATTACCCCCACTAATTACTTATTATCATTTATTATCCTTAATTATTAACCCTACGAGTGGCTACCAGGGTCACTTGTATGCGGGTCATTTTAAGAAGTGCTCGTTTCTCGAAGAATGTTTGTTTAAAAATCATTAAAAATGATACTTAACAACTTATTAACTTTTGTAAACTTAACATATCTAACAATACTTAACAATTTATATTTCAAAAAAGCTATGTGGTCTCCAATTAGAAAGGTAAAGAAAGTTTCAATAATTTTTGGGAATTTTCTCGAGCACGCCAAGGGGAGAAAAATCGAGGAAAAACACTAATAATCCTGATTGCAAGTAGCAAAAATCTGATCATTCTGAAAGTAGCAAAAATACATTGTCATTCTGGGAAAATTAATTATAATATTAATGCGTAAAAAATCGGAAATAACTTTCAATTTGGTGAGCTCCCAAATTTATTGTGTACAAATCACCGCTCTACAACCTATTGTACACATTGTACAATTCCCTGGACCCTGGCATTATATGATTTTCAGTCTTACACGTAATGCTTGAGATTGAAAATCGTATAAGTAACTCTAGTCACATGATCATAATGGTTTCAATCTCATTCGTACACACGTAAGACTGAAAATCGTGTAACACCCAATCTAGGGAATGGTAGGGCATGCATGGCGTGTATACATACACAAATATAAGTGAAAGAGAAAAAAAGACAGACTGATGTCACGGAAAATATTTGACCGATATTTTCAGTGCACCACATGTGTTTACCCATAACGCGAGTCCGATCGTCCGCACGACTACTCTTTTTTTATTACATTGTCGAATCGTGAAAGGGAAATAAATACAAACAGCGGATTGTGCGCGTTGTGTTAACCTTCGGAGCGATAAACGTAGTGTAAAACCGTCTGTGTTTCCGTTTCGTGCTCCTCAACGAAATGAGCGAAACGCGTATTGTCGGCAGGCCTCACCCCTAAAACAATAGACGACGGCTGCTACAATGTATTCTCGATTTTATTGGCTTTTAATGCGCGCAATAACCAACCCTTTCGCCACCCCCGCTGCCGCCAAGCGGCGCTCGAAAGTATCAGACCCGAACCGGCGGCTCTGTGCCCGCGCATATCGCCTCGTCCCGACCTGGCCAGCCGCCAATTATTTCGGCGTAATATCCTCGACGTGGCGTACGATTGAAACGTACAGCCCGGCATTTCCGTGTCCACCGGGGACGGGCCGTCGCGTACTTAATGAAGAGAAACAAACCGATCGTCCACGGCGTCGACGGGCCCGGTCCAATGGCCCGTGTGCGCGCGTGACCCTGTTTCCGGATATTCCGAGATGAGTCGCGGTAATCCGCGAGCAACTCGAAGGGGGACGACGTCCGCATGGGCGAGATTCGCGGCTGGCTGGTCGGTGCGCGCCTTTCCGAGGCGATCCCGCACAAAATCAATTCACGCGGATTCGAGGAGTTCACGAGAGTGAAACGAGTCTCGCGCCTAGATGGAAAATAATGCAGAGATTAAGAACGATATCCGAGACGTCTTATTATCTATGTGTATATATGACCTTGATGGCGATATTTGTATTGTGATATTTTTGGCTTGCATTCCAAAACGTCAATTTTGAGAAAAATTGTACTCAATATATCTATATTCACGTTACATATATATTACAGAGTATTGAATAAAATTTCCTCGAAAAGGACGTTTTAGAGTGCAACCTTGGTCTGTTCTTTGCAGCTGAACACACACTGGCTGCAGTAGCTTGCACTAGTTCCCTTTCTCTCTTGTTGACACCAAGTTACAGATATATATCTGTTTCTCGTTAAATTTTAAAAGTGTACACTAATTCAGCTACAAGAAATAAATGTTATCTTTGAAATTAACCAAAGATTAAATTTCGACTCAAAACGTAAACGTAGATAGCAAACAGTGCAGTCTCTTTACTTACGAGTGAGTTTATGTGCGATTTCAAATATTTTATGCACTGTACTCACTAATATGACGAATTATTCATATTGATTTCAATTTCAGCTAAAAAAAAAAGAGCAGACCTCAAGACTGATACATATACTTCCGCAACTGCATTGGCTCTTACTTGCACCTGATATTTGTATTTTGTTCTCAGATGTTTATCCCCTTATTTAATTAATGTCAACTCATATCAGGGAATGTTCTCTAACTACTTGCATAACCACTGGCCACGTATACCGATTGCTCGATATGCGTGACACGTAATGAATGAGTTGATGCGAGCGATTAAAATCACGCATACCTTGGCAGGAAAAAGGCCAGGGTCTATTTCCCACTTCGGTCTTTGTCTATAAAAGTCTCAGAACTCACGGCTGCTTAAAAAAGGCATTTCTCGCACTCTGTTATATCAGCGTCATCGATTCGCGCATATTTCAGTGGCCGAGCCGCGAAGTGTACGATCATACGAGCTGAGGGAAAATCGTTAGGCTTCGAAATACAAATTCTAACATAAGTTTCCAGAGTCCGATCTTACATTTAACCTTCCGACTGGTAACCAGAATCATTTGTCGTGTCGGGATTATTCTAAGAAGTGCTCATTTCTCGAAACATTTTTATTTAAAAAATATTCACTGAAAATAAAATACTTAGCAATTTAGTCTCCATAAAAAAAAGCTATGTGGTCTTCAAACTAGCAGGATAAAGAAAGTTTCTCTTATTTTTAGGGGACTTTTTCGAGCACCTCAGGAGAAGAAAAATCGAGAAAAACATTAATGACTCTGATTGCCACTCCGAGGGTAACAAAAATACGTCGTCACTCGAAAGGTTAAGACCGCCTTCAATTCATCTTCAGGCGCTCCGTAGCCGTTTTTATTTTGTTGATCTATTTGTTAACTTCTCTTGCAATTGCAGTCAAACAAGTATAAAATAATTCTGCACTGTGTTTCTAAAGAGAAATTTTTTTCTTCCTATTTATTTAATAATAATAACAAAACGATCCATGCAGTACCTGAGGATGAACCTACGAGACGATCTCGAGTAGAAATTTGCCTATAAATGCCGCTTTGAAACTTTCGTGACTGAAAACTGACGAAACTGGTGAAGTAACGGCTTGTTTTCCTCGAGACTTTCCTACAAGAGTTAAGCGCGCAAGGAGAAAAACGTCAATCTTGTCGAGATGGCTCGAGAGAGCGCGCACGGTGGTGAGTTTTTGACAAAACAGGCCGCGTGCGACAGGCGGTTTTCTGGAATCGATCCAAGGCACCCGTGCGTGCCGCTGGAGACGCCGCGTATCTGCGGCTAAACGTCAAAGGGATCCACGGACGCGGTACGAAGTCACGCTCTACCCTTGCGTCGACCAGCGGTGCTCAACCGCGATCGCGAACGGCACGTGGGGAATGAGTCGTGGAATGAAAAAAATTGCTCTTCGACGCGTCTCACATTTCCGCGACATTGCATTACCGTTGATTCCAAGAGATCTCGTGAGCTCCTTCATTTTTTCTACTACTCACATCAATGCGGATCTGCGAACGCGATGCGGTAATCATCGTGAGATCATCGTGTCAGAGTACAAGTTGGCTCACTCCTCGCGCGTTCGTTCGACTCGCTTTCTCTCGCCTTCTCAGTCTGATCGCTGTGACAACCGTGCGACCCGACACAATCGCCAAATCACAATCTATTGTATGACATTGTCTTAGACGATAGCATCGGGAAGCTTTAGAAAAATCGTTGATGCAAGCAGCATCCCACGAATCGCCGCGGGAATGGTATCGTCGGGATCGCGGACGAAACCGCGCGCGCTGTCACAATCGCTGCGCTTGCCGCGTCTTCCTACCACCGTGTACGCATCGAATTGAAAGGACGACAAATTTCGACGGATTTCTCGCTGAGCCACGGCGATATACTCGCGAGCGATAGAAACGAGGGACATGACAAGCAGTCGCAAGGGTGGCAGAAGAAAATCGCCCTCGCGCGGGGGTAGACGCGCGCGAGGAGGACGACGGCGCGAAGCGGTGTCGAGCGGAGCGGAACGACGCGGCGCGGAGCAAAGCAGAACGGAGCCAGAGTGGAGCAAAGCGAAGCAAAAGCGCTCTCCCTATCCCTCCTGCTCCCTCTCTCTTTCTTTGCCTCCCTCCATCTCTTTGTCTCGCTCTCTCTTTCTATCTCACCTGAAAGTCGCAGTGGATAATTTCGGCGTCATCCAACAGTCGAATAGTGGCGCGATGCACCACCGTCACGTCACTCTTGCTGCCGAACTTCAACATTTCTGCCCTCAAGTCGTCACCCGAATTATCCCCCCGGCCCTCATCGTCCCTGCCCCCACAGCACCACACACTGCCCGTTTATTAATCGCGACACGCGCCACCGTCGTCGTCCCCGTCGTGGACGCCGGTCGTCGCCGCCGCCGCCGCTGACGCGCGACAGTACTCCGTATTAATCGACGAGCTGACACGGCACGACGGCGCGACGGCACGATTGCACAGCGGTGAACGACGACACATCACCGTAACGGAAGAACGCGAAGCTGTCTGTCAACCGGTCCCGTCCACTGGTGCGCCGCCGCCGCGGCCGTAGCGGCGCTGCCACATCTACGCCTCGCGAACGGCCTATGCGCCGTTGCCGGAGCCGCGCTGGTTTGACAGATGCGCGCGCCGCCCGACTCAGATTCGTCTTTGACGTTTCGGTTAGTCCACGGCACAGTCGAAATACTCGCGAGATTTCTGCCCGGCCACTTGGAATTTCGCATGCATACGCGATGACTTTCTCAGGCACATTCCAAGGCTCACGGCAAGCACGAAAGCGTAAACAGTAAAATGTGAGCAATAAACAAAAGACTGACTAACCACAGTCGATTATTCTCCTCACGGCTCAAAAATTATCGACTGTGATTGATCAATTTTCTTACTGCTTCAGTTTTATTATGCATTGGTAGATATTCATAGTCGAATCTTATTTCAAAACAGTCTTAAGTAATGTCTTAAGATGCGCATCTTAAGACTGTGATTGGTTCATGACGTCTTTAACAGTATTTAAAAATTATTTAGACAGTATTTAAAATAATCTTAAATATAAGATCGGGCTATGAATACCGGCCATTGTGGTCCTAATGTTCTAATGTAACATTCCAGTATCCTCTCGAATAGTCCGTCAGTGTACCTATCGAGTGAATATAGATATCTCGACTATGACTTTAGTCTGATAATACGCATATAATGGAAAGTAAACAAAAAATCTTCAGCTGTGTTGGTGCGAGAACTATACACGTAGAAATTCTGTAGTACATTCACAAATATTGAAGCCGTGGATGAGCGCATATAAGCCTAATTAATAAGTAGAGGGCGCTATTTGTCGATTACGTTTGCATTCGGAAAAGAACGAGTTGAAATCGATACGAATAATTCGTCATATTAGTGAATACAATGCATAAAACATTTGGAGTCGCACATACCACTCGTAAATAAAGATACTGCACTGTTTGCTATCTACGTTTACGTTATAAATCAGTTTAATCTTTAGCTAATTTCAAAGACAACATTTATTCAAGAATTACCACTCTCATGTGTTTAAAACGCTACGTTATCAGTCGCAATATACATTGCCGATAAAAGTGCTAACAGCGGACGAAAGAGGTCGCTAGCCACTACATTTAAGTTGCATTACCTAGGTTTGCATTCTAAAACGTTTTTTTAAGGAAATTTTACTCGATACTCTATAGTATATGTAACGTGAACTATAGATATTGAGTAAAATTTTCCTCAAAAAGGACGTTTTGGAATACAACCCTAGATAGTCCGAGGTGGTCTGAGATTATTTCGAATATGCGCCACGAGTTCTGGCTTAACCGCCGTGACGTAAAGACGTATCCGAATTTGTTTGGACGTGATCTAAGATTTTTTGAAAACAATCCTTGAAATTATTTTCGGGGAATATTAATTCATCTTTAACTATTAGAATGGTGTTGAGGAAAAATCGTAGGATTATCTAGAAACAATATTGAGAGAGAAAGAGAAAGAGAGAGAATATGGACATTCAGAGGAAGGACATTCAGAACGTAATTAGGATAATCCAGGGACGTTTTGTGCAATCTGGATATACAAAATAAGAAGAATTTTTGTGTGAAGTGCAAAACAGCAACAGCAACATATAATTTAATTTTGCATAATAAAACATGCGATTTAAATTGCAAAGGTCACAAGCCCTTATTCTGAACTTTTCTTTATTGACATGAGTATTTCTGAATGTGTTCATAAGTCAGTCAATAAGCTTTCATGAAAACACTTTTATCGATAAAAGAAAGTTCAGAGGGCCATCAAATAAGACTAGACACGCATCATAAACGATAAGACTCAAGCAGTAAACAAATTGACCAACACAGTTGGTCAGACGAATATTCTTGCACGTTTTCGTAACGCAACGAGGACATTAAACTGTTACTGATTTGTTTACCATTAAAGTTTCACTGTGTTTTCGTACGCGTCATCAGTCTGAGCATCATAAACTTGGATACCCAGACAGCACAGTGTCCAAAAGTGGGATATAAGCGTCTTTAAGACGTCTTTAAGTTATCTTTAAGACAAGTTTATAAAGTATTGCTTTAAAGATGTCTTAAAGTTGCCTTAAAGACGTCTTATGACTCGATTTTGGACATTTGTGCCGTCTGGGTACTGCACGAATCAGTCAATCACAGTTAGGGATTTCAACCTAAGTCTTCCGTCTCGATAATCCTCGAGTATGATTAGTCAATTATTCGCTCACTGTTCGAGTCTCGCACACTTTCCGTGCGCACGGGCTTGAAACTCGGCGCAACGAATACTGCAGGATTCTCGGCGCTCAAGTCGAGCTTCTCCGCACGCCCCGGTAAGTCCCCTCTCGCTTTCCATTGAACAGTAATACGCGGGCGGTGCAGAGCGTGTCTCGCAGATTCCGCTTGCTCCGCCGTCGGTATAGGTTGCACAGCTGCGTCACTCGAGCACCGTGCATCGATTCGAGCGCTCCTTACAGCCTGACTAGTTTAGCGCGACGGCCACGGTAAGGTCTCGCGCGCCACGATACGCCGGCTGTCGCGCAAAGTGGTGGTAGGGTGACGGTTTTGCGACGAGCGCGCGGGTGGGGACGAGGTCGAGGGCGTTGAACAAAGGTTGGATGCGTCGGTCGGCCGGCCGGCGGCCGCATTCACGACTCAAACATGGCAGCGGCTACCAGCGTTGTCGTGCTCGACAGGGGCAACAACACCACCTGCACCATCAATTTACACGGTGTGTGTGTGTGTGAATGTGCGTGTGGTACGCGCGCCAGTGTGTGTGCGTGCGTGTGTGTGTGTGTGCATGTGTGCGTGCGTGCGCGCGCGTCCGGTGAATCTCCGTCTCGCGGAATGAGAATCCCGCTCGAACTATCGAGGAAGCGCGGCGGGTATTCGCGGCGACGGCGAAAGCTCGAGAAGCGAAAGAAAGCCGGAGCGCGCGTCCCGAGAGAGCGTCTTCGCGCAGCGCGAGTTCGCGCCCCGTCGATGGTGTGTCAAAGTCGAAACGACGCGACGAAGCCGGCGCTGCCGCTCCTCCCGCGTGCTCTCCCGCGACGCCGACACTCCTCCGGAACTCTCGCTGGAGTTTCTCGTACATGTGCTTCTCTCTGTGTTTGGAGTGCGCGTCACCGCTCTCTGCTCTCGTCGACGAGCTTACGTTCTCTTCGCGCCAGCGAGCGACGGCGGAGGCAGCGGCAGCGCCGGCCAGTGTGTGGTAATCTCACGCGTTTACAACCGCGCGGCTTCACGTGTCAACATTCAGCGCACCTCGTTTCGCGCCACGCGTACAGCGTGCCGCACGATATCGGCTGATATCGCTCGTAACTCACCGCGATGATTACTCTTCCGGCCGCTCTAGGCACAAGCCAAGTCACGTGCTGTTCCCCCGAAATTCTCATCACAATTTTCCATTTTGCAGGAGCCACCGTGGTATCTTGGCGTGTCAACAATCAGGAACAGCTCTTCGTCAGGTGAGTACATATACATACGCATCTCGCTGCGACTGTACGCGACAGTCTTTTGACAGGCCAGGAGCCGAAAGCGCGCGTGCGATCGGTCTCGCGCTCTAAAAGTAACGCGATTGCCGATTACCTTGACGTTTTGATCTCTTTAATTCAGATTTTAATGTGTGCGTGTCGGCCGCAATTAATTCTATGTGACTTTTAGCACTCTCTTTTTTAACTTATCTTTTTTTTTTCTTTTCCGCTTCTTTCTTTCGCGTACGTATGGAGAGCTCCGACAATGGTTCTGCTTTGGAAATCATTTGAAAAAGGAAGAATTTGATAAGGGATAAATTATAACGTTAAAGTAAAATTCACAACGTGTGGTCTGTGAGCAAACTTCGAAGTATCGTTGTGCAGCTGTTGTCATTTGCGAGATTCACGAAGTAAAACTCTGAGATTGCACGGGTCTTTCGTGAAACGAGCTGTATAGGTCATAAAACACGCTATAAAGTCGTCGAAGTAAACGTTGACGCAAGTTGTAAGGTTACGCGCGAGGTTACGCATCTCAGATGAGATTGAATGCGTTTAGCATGATCGTGCACGGCAATGCGTACTGGTAGCGTCGAAAGAACATTACATGAGCGGTATAACGTAATATTAATAATATATCGATAATAAATATTAATAATATATCGATAAAAAATATTAATAATATATCGATAAGAATATCAAAGATGAATATCAAATCATGACTATCGCGGCAAAAGTGCGAGGCAGTGTAAAATTGACCCGATCAATTTTTGTCGGTTTATGCTTCGCACACATCGAGAAATGCCTACTGCACTCAAACAAATATTATTTGTTTCAAAGTATTACGTAAGTTTATATATCCGCGAATCTAGAGTTTTTATCGTATATAAGCGTCAAATTCATTCAAAATATATCCTGAATCCAAGTAATTTAGCATTTCAATCAAGAATATTAAATTAAAACAAAAATTCGATTTGCTCTCTGGTACATAGAGTCTAAATAACGTTTTCTTTGATAAAGTTTTATGATATTAAAGAGAATAAATTTTTCTGAGTATATGATAATGAGATTTTTTCTAAAATTTATAAGTATATATAAAGACTGGGAAAATTATAAGAATAATTAAAAATCAAGAAGAGGTATTCTTTTTATATGAAAGGAATTACATTATACTTACATATAATATTATAACAAAATTGTATCTATGAAGTGCTTCAATGTTATGAAATTGAATAAGATGAATCGTTCATAGAAAGAAAAAAGTTTACCTAACAATCTAATAAATATTTCCCGGGTTTTTCTGATATCTTACAATAAATATTACGTAAAAAGAAAGAAAAGTAAATTGAGCAACCGCTTTTTTCTTAACAGTGGAATTTTTCACAGTGGCATTTTTCTGCGCACAACGTCAAATGCTCTCGAGTGCATTAATAAGGAAATAAAGCGCTGCTTTTGATGCATTTAACCTCGTACTCGTTGTAATGGAAAAGTCTTCCAGCGGGACATTATCATTTCGAGAAATAAAAACGCGTCATTCATATAAGAAAACAACGGGCTTCTTGTTTCCTTATATAAAGGAAACAAAGAGTTTGTATTGTTTATGATAAATGGCATTGATGGAGAAAGTTATCCGGTTTCCGTTTAAAATGTATCAAGGTATTGTTTGAAAAACCGTGATAGAAATCGGCAATGTGCGGTTAGTGCCGGCGCAATTTATTGTCCGAGATGCAAGGTCTCCGCTATGCTACATCGACCACGAATCACTCCCCGGGAATGACAGCTTCTGGAATGAAAGAAAAGAAGGGGAAGAGGTGGAGACAGACAGACAGAGAGAGAAAGAGAGACGAAAAGAGAAAAACTATTTTATGCTCGCGAACAAAGTCTTTGCAACGAAGCGTTCAACACGCGCAATCAACTCGTTTCAAATCGGACAAAAGGAAGCTACCATCAGTTTATGGTTATGTTGGAAATGAATAAGCGAGCTATAATTTTTAATTTATAACAAGTGCAGATATCAATCGAGATCTATTTTCATTCGCGACGACACGGGAAAATTTCTCATCGCCGTACGTGACCGATCCGGCGTTCTTGCGAAACACACCGGAACGACGCGCGATTTCAATTAAAACGGTGGCAAACCAGAGATCTGCTTAATTACAATTTCTACGCGGGCCTTCTCTCTCACGAATTGATCGCGGAGAATGGTGGGCGATAACTGCGCCTAAAAGATACCCACTATTTAAGGTAATATTCGCCAAAATCCATCTCAATGAAACACTCCCGAAGTCTTGCGCTCGTTTCATTAAAAGAGAGAATCACGGTAACTTTGGAACCAGCTCCCCCGCACTTTGCCGTTCCTCCTGATCATCATCATCTAGCGTCCCCCTCGAAATCATCAATCTTGCGTAAGCAACGCGCGTTTGCTCTCTCGTTTGTATAATAAATATATATATATATATATATATATATATATATATATATATATATATATTTTTTTTTTTTTTTCTTTTTTCTTATCATCTTTCTCTCTCGCGCGGAATATCGTTATTCGCGACAATACGCAACGCGTAGCACGAGAAGGAAGAGACACGGGAGAAGGCGCGCGCGCGCACACCTGCCGAGAAAGAACCGCGTAAAAGCGCGGTGCCCGTGACGATCGCTTTAAAAGCGGCAGCCCGAGAGCAGACGATGAAAAAACTGACGGAGAGAAGGCAAGGGCGCTCTCTGGACCAGTACATACCTTATACACGGGGTTCAGGGCCCCTCGTCGCTTGCCAGTCATCGGTCCTTCCGACTGTAAAGCCACTGTCGAGACTGGGTTTTGTAATAGACCCGCGATAGCCTATCGGGGCAATGACTGCGTGAAACTGATGAAAAATCAACTTTCAACGTTCGGTTTCTCTCGCCGAGATCTCACCAACCAATCGCCTATTTTTATCCGCGTGAAAAATGCATGTGTTGGCCCCGAATCGAAATTTTAATCCTCTTTTTCGACATTAATGTTCCATTTATTTCCGCCAACCAATCACCTATTTCGATACCTCGAGAGCTATATCAATCTTTTTGGATTCTATTTAACCTACTAGCTTTGCTGAAGGCTCTTCTTTAAAACCTACAAATAGCATTTCGTGCATTTTCTGCCATTCAGAGGCGATAAGTAGTTTCCACGTGTATTACACTGATCCTTCAGAACATACAGATGTTAGAAAGGTCATGTCCGAAGTAGGGCTAAAATTTCGACTCGGGGGATTATCACATTTTGGTATCTTGCGCGTTTCGCTGAAGAGGCTGCAACTGTGGTCGCAGTCAATTCTCCTGATACATGTGTTGTCAATCAAAGATTCGTGTGGCGAAGTTAGTGATGATTCATCGTCTGTTGGCGGAAACATTGCTGTCGTGAGAACTCCATCTAGGAATTTCAACGGTAGAAAGTGAGACACATACACACACGACGCAAGACGCTCGGCAAACACGCTCGCAATTTACTTCAATTTCCCTCGAAGCGGCTATGAAAGTTACGAGTCGGTATGTCCGGTCGCAGTGTGATACTTATCGCGACGCAACGCTCCGTGATACGCCAAGCTCTTTAATGATACAGCGTGTCAGTCGGGAAAAATGGCTCTTTTAAGTTCAAAGTACATATCAATAACATTAGACAAATTAGTGCCTTTTCCTGTGTGCTCTACTCGACGTCGGCGGTATTTGCGAGCTGTTCGATTATGCAAGCTATTTTCGCGATTATGCGTATGATTATGAATTAATTCTGATTTCGCGAAAAAGAAAAATTTATAAAGCGATATAACTATCTTAGCGTTGAATTACCTAATACAGTAATGTTTTCGTAGCGCAGACGTTGCAGAGGCGTATAACGGAGAAACGGAACAAAACAATTTTCAAATTTTAGAAAAGATATTAGGGATAAAATTTAGGAATACAATTGTTAATATATTTTAACATACAAATTTTCAGACGATGTATTCTTGGTGATTTGTCGTCCGAATCGTTATCAACTCTGTTTCTCGATCTTTAGCTCTTCTTATTTACGTAGTTCTACTCGAGAGGTCTTTGTCTTTCTGAGTAGACCCCTTTTGTGTAAAGATCTCTCTCGTATATCAGAATAAATAATATAAACAATCTAGCGAGAAACAAATACAAACACAAAATATATGCAATCGTCGCATCAAATGCTTGAAGTGGTCGTCCATTACAAAAGAAGAGTGAAATTAGTGTGAAATTAGTTTTCAGATTTTTTGAGAAAACAGATTTCAAATGATAAAAAAATCACATTAACATAAAAAGTCGCTATAGCGACTCAATTTACGTTAAATCTGTCTATTTATGCCTGCAAAAGTATAAATAAGACAGATTCATCGATCACCACGCGAAAGAATTATATCAGCCGTTCTCGGGACTTGACCGCACCATCGGTAATACGAGAGGCATCACGTGCACCATTTCGATCTCTCGGTTTTTACGGTCCGTAAACGTGGTGGATGTCGTCGTCGAACATCTGCGTTCACGGGGTCCGAGAGCGGAAGCGAAGAATGAACGAAGCGACCGAGCGGACACGACGAGACCACGACAGTTCCATCGGTGCGACGGATCAATCGGATAAATTACTGCTCGTTCAGATTACGATAACTAGCCAGTTTCGGACACGTTTCGGGCGAGATGACGCACGGTGAAATCCAATGCGGCTCATTTTAACCCTCGCCTTATTATTGCTCGACGGAAAAGCCAACTGAGGGGGACGAGATTCTAAGTTTCGTGACTAGGAGATTCGAGCACTGGATATCTCGGCGAGCGACTAAAACGCGAAAGGGTGAGTCCGGCGTGATTGTGCCAAGAGAGAGAAAGAGAAGGGGGAGAGAAAGATAGAGAGAAAGAGAATGTGTCGTAGGCATATTATGTGCCGCGCAACCCCTTTCGATATCAAGACGGTAGGGTGACCTAACTGTTCTTCGCTTCGTTCGAGTATAGACAAAGAACGACAACTA